TTTCCAAATTATTCACAGGCAGGCAGGGCTAGGAATTAGAAAGGGTTCTAATTTCTAAAAATGTGGAAAAGAGATCCAGACATAGTTTCAAATTCTCATGGAATCCAGACTTTCTGGAGTCATTGAGGCTAGATGAACCCCTGAAACTAATGCCCTGAGATAATCTTTAAACTGTAAACCAAAAGGATCCCTTGATGTCTTCTTTAAACCATTTAATACCCATGGCCATCAAGTCAATTTTAACTCACAGTGACCTATAGGATAGTGTAGAACTGACGCATAGAGTTTCTAAGACTAAAAACCTTTATGGAAGTAGACTGCCACATCTTTCTCCTGTGGAACAGCTTGTGGGTTTGAACTGTCCACCTTTGGGTTAGCAGCTGGGCACTTGACCACTGGGCCACCAGGACTCCTTGGACCTAATAATAATTGAGCTTAATTAATAAAGACTGTCTGCCTTGACCATTGTGGTCTTTTAAAGAACTATCTATATATACGGGATCAAACTGACAACAGCACCTGGAAAGTTTAGACAGGAAGCTTAGAGAGCAGCGACTTTATGTTAATGGGGGAGGAATAATTTGGAAAAGGAGAGTGAGAATGACTGGACAACTTGAAGACTGCAATCAGTGTCACGGAATTGGACATGTATAACATTTTAAATTAGTGCATGTTTTGCTGTGTATATTTTCAATGATGAAAAATATATTATATATATATATACAAAATGAATAAAGCAAATATGGCAAAATGTTAACCATTAAAGAATCTAGGTAAAAGGATCAATGGGAATTCTTTGTATTATAATTGCAAATTTTCTGTAAGTTTACATTTGGATCAAAATATTAAAATTTCAAAGGTGTTTAGATAGTTATTAAAAAAAAAGAAGAAGAAATAAAAATTGCTCCATGACTTGGAGATTAAGATTCCTTGATTTTGTTCCCCAAGGAATTCAAAACAATATGATTAATTTTGCACTTAGACATTAGCAATATAAACACATTTCTAGGAAATCTGAAAGGTATTTAGAGTACTTCCATAATTTTATTTTATTTTTTTATTATTATTATTATTTTTATTAGGATTTGGGTGAAGATTTACAGAATAAATTCACTTTTCATACAGCAGTTCACATATACTTTGTCTCATGTCATTGACCAAAATTTACAATGCAGCAGCTCACCTCCCACTTCCTCCCCATAGTTACCTCCTCCCAGTGTCCATCCCTTCATACTCTTCTGCACCCTGAGCTATCTCCCTGTGCATAAGCAGCCCTTCCTTCTCCCATGATTGTTCTCTCCAGGGCATGTGTCTGCTTGAGGTAATTGTTTAACTCACATGCCTGTACTTTGTTTGGCTGGAAACCACAGTTGTGGGTTCAATTCCAGACCTGAAGGGCAGCTAGGGGCCATAGTCTCAGTGGTTACACCAGGCTCCATTGGACCAGCAAACCTGGTCCCCACCTTCTTTTTTTTTTTTGCCTCCAAATGATTTTGAGTTTTGTACCACATTGCTCTCCCTCTTTATGCAGGATCTCCTACATCCCTTCCAAGTGGATGGCAGTGGTAGCTGGGCACCATCTAGTTCTTCTGGTCTCATAGTTGTATAGGTTGCAGATTGGATGGTGTACCAGTCGCTAGGACTGATTGTTTCCGTTAATTTTGGTTTTCTTCTTTCTTCTTGATGAGGAGAGACCCGTTGTTGCATCTAGATGGCAGCTTCCTAGCTTTTAAGGTCCCAGTCACTACTCGCCAGAGTAGTAGGTGGAACAATGTTTTGTATAGTATGTTATGCCAATTGAGCTTGATGTCCCCTGCGACTATGGTCCCAAGCCCACAGGATCAACTACTCGGTCCCTCTGGGTAGCTGGCTGTGACCAAGCAATGACCATAACCTTGCCCCTTGTCAGCTCTACTATACATCTGGGAATTCTGATCATTCACATGAACTTATGGGCCCATTGTCTGCCAACCCTATATATGATCTTGGATACACTCTCCATTTAGACATACATAATTGTTTAGCTTGTTCACCTATCTATCCGTCCCTATACCCATGTTTGCTTTCACTGACAACTCAGTACTGTATATGCAAAAGGGTTCATATCTGTTGTCTGTACTGCCCATGTAACTCTCTATGTCTTTCTCATCCTCAATGCTGCCATATTGGTCACTCACATTTGGTACATTGCCCTTCTCTTCACCCAAATCAATATTTATCTCTATCTATCTAACAGCATTCCCTCCCCTCCCCTCCCACCCCTGGTAACCAACAAAGAAAATGTCCTCCAATAGATAAACCTTTCCTTAACTTTTACAATAACGGACTAATACAATATTTGTCCTTTTGTGACTGACTTATTTCACTCAGCATAATGTCCTCCAAGTTCATCCACGTTATGTGGTGTTTTGCAGATTCTACATTATTCTTTAGCGTTGCATAGTATTCCATTGTGTGAATGTTTGGTTATCCATTCCTCAGTTGTTGGACATCTAGGTTGTTTCTAAGTTTTGGCTATTGTAAATAGTGCTGCGATGAACATCGGCGTGCATATATCTGTTCTTGTTATGGCTCTCACTTCTTTAACTTCCATAATTTTATGTTAAATGTTATACCTTTTATTTTAAAATAGTTTAATAAAGTGCATCATGTATTTTAATATTTTACAATAAAATCCATTATATCAAAATCTCACACATTTAGAAAATTATAAAAACCATGATTCACACCAACTATTTTGTGCTGTGCAATTCAGTGGGTAAACATGATTTCATTTGCCTATGAAGCATTTCCTCTGTTCCTTTCTGGCTTTTTTAAAGCTTTCACAAGTGATCACTGCTCTTGGCAGCTGCAATGCACTCTTTTTTATTTCTGGTATGTTATCAGCTTCACCTTTCATTCTTTGTAGAAGGCTCCATAGCTCAAGGCATACTGAGGAAAAGCCTAGTGGCAGGCTTCTTCCTTTTCATTGCTCCAGAGGTTAAACAGATGGCTGTGATGCCAAAAAAGACTCCAGAATATGTGATGAATCCTGAGACCAAGCCACCTGCATGGCCATTTGTCTCGTTCTCAATTCATTCAGTATTACTAGCTGCCTTTCTAGCTGAGGTTGAGTGTTCATAAGCATGAACTCCTGCTAATTTTTCATTAATAAATTTTGAAAATATGAATCTCATCTTGATTGTGTGGTGGTGGTGCCAGGACACAGTGATGATCTGATGGACTCAGCCCATGGCTCCTCTGGCAGTGATGGGGATCAGGTCCTCAAGATTCCTTGATTTTTCTTTCTTGTTTCCTTATGAAGTTTCTGGATGACATATGAAGTCACTTCTCCCCACAAAATGTGGGGACTGTTATTTGCTAGCCAATGCTCCCCGCACTCCAAACCAATTTATTATTGAACCCCAAGAGGGAGGTACTATCATTAACCTCTCTTAAAGATGGGGTAACGAGGCACAGAGAGGTTGAGTAACTTGCCCAAGGTCACACAGCTAGTAAGTGGCAGAGCTGGGCCTGAACCCTGCCAGTCTGGCTTCTAAACACTTGCTCTAAACCATGCTTTGCTTTGCTTCCTTTGAGATTCTTTCACTGCTGTGCATTGTGGTTCTGCATTTTCAGTGGGATCTTTGTAGCAACTGATGTCCCCTATTTAAATGACAGAAGGGAGTCCTTTTGAAATATCCAGGAGATCCTCTATTCTCCTTCAATGTCCTTATGCTGCTAGTGGTGCCCTCTTGTCATTCCAACATTCCTCAAACTCCTAGGAAAGTGAGCAATGAGTTGTTGAGGCCGAGGAGAGGATTGATTCTGTTTGCCAGAACAAGATGTGTCTTTGTACCTGGCTCAGGTGGCAGGTACCCTGCAGGAACCCTGCCTGCCCTTTGCCTTCGTTGCCCTCTCTGAAGGTCATGGGAAATGCTGGCCTGTCAGCAGGCATAAACTCCAAAGTTTCCCCCTCACTTAATCTCAAGGATTGTTTACCCAAGTGGACGCACATGGATTAGGCAACCCATTGATCAGACATGTTTGATTGGTTTGGGCGTGAATGAAGGCACCACAGCTGTCAGAACAAACATGTCCAGTGGTGAAACATGGACACCCACATTTGCTGGTGTGACCCAAGGGTGTGTACTGGGTTGTGGCTCATGAGCTGTATGGCAGGGCTCAGAGTCAACTACTGACTCAGAGCAAGGATAAACACATGATTGCCTCCAGATGGGACCCTCCATTTCATGAAAGAATGTGGGGCCATGGTCACTTCCCCAGGGGTCTGTTTGTGGTTACGAGTCACTGGGTGTTGTAAACAGTTAGGCACTCAACTACTAGCTGAAAGATTGGTGGTATGAACCCACCCAGAGGTGCCTTGGAAGACAGGCCTGGAGATCTGCTTTTGGACAGTCACAGCCTTGAAAAATCCCATGGAGCATGGTTCGACTCTGCACACATGGGGTCGCCTTGAGTCAGAACCAACTCTACAGAAACCAAGGACAACAGTAACTGTGGGCAGCTCAAGTCTGCAGGGGTGGCTGGTGTTCCTGACTTAGACAGGAAATATCGAGTGGGATCCAGCCAGGGCTTTTAGGGCATTGGCAATGCTCCTTATCAGCTCCTAGTACTCCGTTTGCTAGAAGTGAGGGGACAGGAAGTGCTATTGTTGGGGAAGGCCTTGACACCTGCTCCTCTTCGCCTTGGGCGTTTTCCCTCTCTTGTAGACCTAGTTCACAAAGGCTGCACTGTGTGGCCTCGCAAGTGAGTTTTCGTAAGTGGAGACCTTTAATAACCAAAGTCAGGCCATGATAATGTCTTGGGAGGAGATCAGGTGAGTATACAGGCCACCTGGCCAATGGAGCCAAGTAGGGCCTTGTGGGAAGGTTGTTGTTTTATTGGGCGCAGCAAAGGGTGGACCAACCAACCAGACTTGGTAAATTGTCATTTACAGTTTCTGAGCTTTTAAAAGAAGAGCTTCCCCAGACTCATTACTGATTCCAGATCTGGATGCCATGAGGGCCCCGGCAATTCTGCTGTCCCTGTTCCTTGGTGCCCTGGCCCAGCATGGGTCCCACTGGACCTACTACGGTAAGCCCCCTTTCCCCCTCTCTCCACAGAGAAGGTATGACTCCCCTTCTTGGGGAAAGAGAGAGAAGCCTGGTATTTTCCAGAGTGGCCAGGTAGACTGCCCATGATTTTCTGTTCCACTGTTGCCCATTTTGGCTTCACATACCACCTTTTCAATGTCTTGGAAAGCATGGAGAATAAGCCGAACTTAAGCTTCAACTAAAGAGCTCTGGTGGTGGTGTAGTAGGTAAGGGATTTGGGTGCTAACCAGAAGGTCAGTGGATCAAACCCACCAGCTTCTCCATGGCCATAAAGATTTACAGCCTTGGAAACCCAGTGGGGGTCACTGTGGGTTGGAATTGACTCGATGGAGGAGATCAGGTGAGTATACAGGGTTTGGTTTTGGTCTGACACTTCCATTAAGGAAAAGAGAAAATAATTCTTCCCCATCACCAGACCCTTCCTCCCTTGCAGGCCCTTTTCCAGGAGCTCTGGTGGCATTTGACTGTAAATCTTTACAGAAACAGACTGCCTCAGCTTCCTCTCGTTTTTGACTGCTAACCAGAAGGCTGGCAGTTCAAACCCACCAGTCACTCCTTGGAAGGAAGACTGGGCAATATACTTCCATAGAGATACTGTCTCGGAAACCCAAGAAGGGGTCGCTATGAGTCAGAATCAACTTGATGGCAGTGAGTATTTTGGTCTTGAGGCCCTTTTCCACCCACAGTGTTGGCAGGTTCAAGATCCTGCTCACTGCTTCTGATTGCAGCACCACTTGCCTTGCTATTGGTCTGTGTAACTGGAAAAGGAGGTTATTAAAAAGGATGTCCTGTAGTTTCCTGGAAGGGGCTGCAGGCTGGTGAGAGCCTTCCTTCTTGGAAAAACCATAATACACATTGTGAGATGTTTACCCAGAACACCTCACCTTGATGAGAGCACCAGCTGCCTTTAAAAGGTTGCCACCAGGCTGCTTCCTCTTGGTGGCAATGCCTGTGATGAGAGTCAGACCTGCACATGATCTGAAACCTGACCTTCAAAGGTGAAATTGAAAATGTTGGCATTTAGCATGGGCTCTGGACCACGCAGGAGCCCTGGTGTTACAGTGGGTAAAGTGCTTGGCTGCTACCTAAAGGTTGGTGGTTTGAACCCATCAGCCACTCAACGAGAGGAAGCTGAGGCAGTCTGTTTCTATAAAGATTTACAGCCTTGGAAATATTAGGGCAGATCTACTTTGTCCTTAGAGGGTCACGATGAGTTGGAATTGATTTGATAGCAGTGGGTTTTAGTGGGGTTGCTAGACCACAGGTGACCCAAAGACTGGAAGGTTGTGTTGGTGGGGTTTGTGGACACTACACACTCCTCCCACGAATCACCTGAGAGTTCCTGCCCCTTTTTGGTACTGGGAATATACATGGAACGGCAGCCCAAGAGGAGGGTTGTAACCATTGGTGGAGGCAAGAGGTAAACGCAGGGTTGAGCTTGCTCTTGGTACAATCTGCCCTTGACCCAGGTACCTAGAAAAGCATAAATGCAGGTGAATGCTATATCCTGTTAAGTCAAGAACATGATGTCAGGGTCCGAAAGCCCAGCTTCAGAGGGCAGGACTGCATACTTTTATCTCCATATACCTGCCTGTTACACAAAGACCCTGGGGCTTTCTGCCTCACCTGACCCCAGCTGTGCCGGGAGTGGCTCAGAGGTTAAGGAAGAGAGAGTTTCACAATAATGGCAGTCTTGTTTTTTCTGGGCTCAGGCTAGCCTTCTGGGAAGTCAGTAGAGGACTCAGAGAACTTTCCAGGAACTATTGCAAGTGCCTTCAGAAATTACCTGAGTGTGGGCCAAGGCTTGTTATGGATTGGATTATGTCCCCCAAAATATGTCTTGTAAATCATAACCTTTATGCCTGTAGTTACAACAATCCCATTTGGGAATGGACTGTCTTTTTATGTTAATGAAGCAGGATTGGTGTAGGGTGTGTCTTGAATCAATATCTTTTGAGATATAAAAGAGATTAAACAAGTAAACTAGGATGCCGAGATGGGGTAAGTGCCAAGACACAAGGAGACTGCCAAGGAACCAGGAAGCAGAAGCTGAAGAGACAAGGATCTTCCTCCAGAGCCAACAGAGAGAGAAAGCCTTCCCCTAGAGCGCTGCTCTGAGCTCAGCCTTCCAGCTTCCTAAACTGGGAAAATACATTCCTGTTTGTTACAGCCATGCACAAGTGGCATTTCCGTGACAGAGCACGAGAGAGCTAAGACAGGGCTGCTCTTGAAGCCTGTTGCTTTGGTTCTGGTAACCTGACTCTGAGAAAAGACTTGTTTAAAATTGGTTTGTATTATTAAATGGAGTTCTTGGTGAGTGCAAATGGTTAACGCGTTTGGCTGAAACAGAAAGGTTGGAGGTTCGATCCACCCAGAGGCGCCTTGGCAGAAAGGCCTGGAGATCGATTTTATCCGTTGAAAACCCTCTGCAGCACAATTCTACTCTGACATATATGGGGTTGCTGTGAATCGGAATAAACTCAACTGCAACTGATTTTTGTTTCTGTTTATTATTATTATTAAATAGTGAAGAGCAGAGCAGAGAAACAAAGAATCAATTTTTCTATTGATTACAAAACCAAGAAGTGGTGAGAGGCCCAATTACACGCTGCTTTCTTAAAACAAGCCACCTACTTAGCACACAGCTACTCCCTAGAGTGTGAAGGAGAGTTTGGTCCCCAACAGCCAAGATATACTCCATCACCACCTCCTCCTCACCTCTGTGGCTATTTATCCTCTTTAAAAAAAGAAACTGTATTTTTGAAAATTAAAAAAAAAAAAAGTTAGTTTGTCATTTGATGTCATTTTTGGTACAAATACGTCCTTAACCAAAAACTCATTGCTACTACCCCAGAGAGTTTCCAGGCTGTAATTCTTACAAAGCAGATGGCCATATCATTCTTCCATGGAATGGCTGGTGGGTTTGCAGCCAAGTGCTTAATCGCTGCACCACTAGGGCTTTTTAATACTTCCTTAGCTACCCTCAATCCATAGGTGTAGCTGTCACTTAGGTAGTCTTTATGACTCTAGGAACCTGTAAAAGGGGTAAGAAAATAGGTGAGGGAGGTCCTGCAGCCTGGGTTGGGGAGGGTCTATGTCACTGCTGGGTGCTTAGAAAGGAAAGTTCTACTATTCAGAGGAAACAGGAAAAGCCCCTGGAAGCAACATGGTCATTCCATGCGCACGGATTTCTCAGGGCAGTATTCAGCCCTGAAGAAAATAATTCAAGGGGTGAGGCGGGGGAAGCTGTATATTAAAGAACTTCCATTGCTTTCAAAGCCATGTTCCTAGGGTCAGTGTTTGCAATGTGAAATTAGAAATCAAAACCAAAGCCCCCAAACTCCTGGGGTTCATTGAAAAGCCCCTTCAGCCTCCTTCCAGAGGCCCTGCCTCTGCTTCCTAGAAGGCAGTCCCTTGGGCCTCTCACGTAGTGGGCCCTGGCCTCTGCCCTGTGTGAGGTGACCAGTGGGTGCACCTCTACCTTCTAGGAGGGCTTGGCCCCAGTAACCCCTCCACCTGCAACCTGTTTGGCTGTTTCCCATCTCAGAGGGGGCGCTGGACCAGAAATACTGGCCGGACCACTACGCAGCCTGTGGTGGGCAGAGGCAGTCACCCATCAACGTGCAGAGGAAGATGGTGCGGTATAACCCTGCCTTGAAGGACCTGAAACTGACAGGCTATGAGGCTCAGGAGGGCGAGTTCCCCATGACCAACAATGGCCACACAGGTAAGGGATGGGCAAGAGGCTCCCAGTCCTGGCAACCCCTTGCTGGCAAGATGCCGGCAGTCAGAGGGGAAGCAGGTGATGGTCAGTCACCAGGAACAGCATCAACAGATCTCCAGGCCTCACACTAGAGGGTTGACAGCAGCAGTGGGACCATTTATTTATTTTCAAATAGTCAAGAGAACATTCTCATAGACTCCAGAAAAGTTTAAAGGTTCAAGGCACTGGGCCTCTAGGGGTCAGTGAGAAAAGCAACACATTCCCTGCCTCTCTTTTAAACTTATTTTTTTTTTTTTGGTTGTTGCCATTGAGAATATACACAGCAAAACATGTACTAATACAATTTCTACATGTCCAATTCAGTGATGTTGATTATGTTCTTCAACTTGTGAAACCATTCTCATCCTTTTTTCCTGAGTTATTCCTCTCCCATTCACATAAACTACTTCCCACTAAGTTTCCTATCTAACTTTTTGACTTGCTGTTGTCAATTTGATTCCATATATAGTTGGTCTTAAAACAGCATATTGCTCAAGACACACATTCTTTACTAATTAAGCTCAGCTATTGTCTATTGCTGCGAATATTTACAGCCTTGGGAACCCTATGGGCAGTTCTAGTCTGTCTTATAGGCTCCCTATGAGTTGGAATTGACTCAAGGGCAAAGGGTTTGGATTTTTGTTTTTTTGTTTGATGTTTGATTTAAAACCTTCGAGTAGATGCTTTAAAATGTCCATTGCATTTGAAGGGAAAAGACCTGTACATAAAAGGATAAATCCCCGAAGAGGCCATCATGAGAGCTGCAAATTTTGATCTTTGAAGGCAGCAGAGAAGGCTGGTGTGTCCCTCCCTTTGTTCCTCCCAGGCTTTTATTTTGAAATAGTTTCCAACTTGCAGAAAAGTTATAAAATATTAATATATTATAATCATAGTATAGTTATTATTAAACCCAGGGAACTGACAATGATATAACACCATTGACTAATCCATGTACCTTGCTTGAATTTCATCACTTTTCCCATTTATGGCCTTTTTCTGGTCCAGGATTGAATCTAGGATCCCACATTGCATTTAATTGTCTTATTTCCCAAGTCTCTGCCAATCGGTGGCAGTTCTCCAGTCTTTCTTTGGTCTTCATGACTTTGACGCTTTGCTGGTTGTATCTTGAGGACAGAAATTGGTCAGATCATGTGGTTTTTCTGATCTGAGAAGAAATCAGCTAAACTGGTTGCCCATGAGTGGGGAGCAATGTCTTCTGGAAGTTAAATTAATTTTCAGAATCTAGAAGGTTGCTCAGCAAGTTGGTATTTGGAGACAGGTATCTCAGTATTGCCTTTTCAAAGATATAGTGGAAAGCTCAGAACTGCTGCCCTTTCCCAGGCTTCCTGCAAAGTCCCGTAGATGTCACTTGAGAACTGAGACAGTCCATCTCCAGAGAATTATGCTTTGTGGAAACTTGATTGTCAGGATCCCTATTCATGTTCATACGTTCACTGGGGAAGCCTGGCTGGGGTCCTTGGCTTTCCAAGCCCCTATCAGCTGTCTGCACAGCTAACTCTACTTGTCTCTTTTAAAAGCATTTCCATTTTTTTCATGTGATCTTTGATTTTGAGGCTGACCACATCCTAAGGAGCTCTGTTGGTGCAACGGTTAAGCACTTGACTGATAACTGAAAGGTCACTGGTTCGGATCCACTAGCAGATCCGTGTGAACAATGTCCTGGTAATCTGCTCCCATAAAGATTACAACCTGGAAAATCCTATGGGGGCTGTTCTAATCTGTCATATGGGGTCTCTAGGAGCTAGACTGGACTCCATGGCACCTAATAACAACAACAACCCCCAAGCACTAAATACAAAGCACCTCTACCACCTAAGGACATTTTCAAATCTTTGAGGCAGGATTCCTGCATTACAACATATTTGCATATTATAAATTTAATCATAGCTCCCCACTCCTTTGGACAAATTTGGAAGGAAAAAGGAATCATTTATCAGCTATCAAATACTGAGTATTTGCTTTTTAAGGAAATGTGGTTGTTTATAATAGTCTTAGTTACCTAGTACTGTTGTTGTTATGTGCCGTTGAGTCAGACCCAACTCATAGCGACCCCTCCTTGGGTTTCCAAGGCAGTATCACTATGGAAGTAGATTGCCCAACCTTCCTTCTGAGGAGTGGCTAGTGGGTTTGAACCACCAACCTTCTGGTTAGCAGTCAAGTGCCTTAGGCACTACGCTACCTAGTACTGCTGTAACAGAAATACCACAAGTAGGTGGTGTTTTCTCCTAGTTCTGGAGGTTAGACATCCAAATTCAGGGCATGGCTATGGGGGGGGGGGTCCTTCTTTGTCTATTTCAGCTTCTAGTAGCTGCCAGCAATCCTTGGATTTCCTGAGCTTGTAGATGCAACTCTCTCTGTCATCTGTTTTCCTTTTCTTCTAGTGTGTATCCCTGTGTCTATTCTGTTCCTTTACAACCCAAGTTATTAGGTTTAAGACCCACTCTACACTGGTATGACTAGATTATGATAACAGAAGAAAACCCCAATTTCCAACCAGGATCTTATTTACAGGTATAGGGGTTAGTATTTCAACACATATTTTGGGGGACAATTCAATCTATACCATGAACCATCTTTGATGACTTTAAATAGGAAAACCTTGCCAGCAGGACAGATGCTACCTGTCCCTTTCCATAATCTCATAAATATTTTTCTTAGTCACTGAATGTCACTCTCCATCTCTCCTTTTTGCCTACCTCATTCCCAAAGATAGAGATTTTCCTACGACCTCAGTCAGTGAAACCAACTATAGTTGTCTGTTTGTAGTTACTTCCCTGCTGTGACTGGTTGTAGAGCATCAGGCAGGAGGAAGCTGGGAGAATGATCTGTTTTTCCCATTAGCAGAACCTAGCATTTTAATGTACCCATTGATAATAAGTCAATGTAGATAAATCCCAAATCAAAAGTCTGCGTACTTCCTGATTGGCTGTAAAGTGCAGTCTCCTCTTTGGAAGACACATTGAGCAATGCCACAGAGAAGCGGGATAGTGGCTAATGCCTGAATGGCATCTAGATGCACATTTTTTGGCTCAGCTCTGCCCCTGACTGATGACTTTGAGCAGTTTTTCCATCCTCTTGTGTCTGCTTCCTTGTCCATAAAATAAACTTGTTGAACTCCAACAGAGGTTACCTCCAAGTGGAGCTGGCAGTTAACTGGGCTAGTTCTAGAAGGCTACTTGCAATATGGATTTTAATCACTTCATGAAGAGGATAGCTACCTCAATGTAGCTTTACAACCAGTACAATTCTGGGCAGTAAAATTAATCAAAAGAGGCTCAGCTTATTATTCGTATACTTTGCACAAATTCCACAGTGGAGTTCTGCATTTTCACAGCCATTGGCCATATTTTTTCAGAGACAACAGGCTGAGACCTACCACCCCACAGTCCTGCCCTGACTTTCTGATGTTGGGCAGGAAGGTGTATGTCCAGGAGAGGTGCCTGTCCTAGCCTAACTTAATCATCATCCAGTACCTGTCTTGACCTCTCCATATGCTCTGAGTGCCACCTGCCTCCCCCCACCCCACCCCCACATGCTTATGATGTTCTAAGCCAGTCTGGGAGTGAGCAGATGGGAGATGACCCAACCACTTCTCACTCTGCATCATTCCTGCCCCTGTCCTCTTTACAGTGGAGATCAAACTACCCCCCACCATGCGTATGATGACCACTGATGGCACCGAGTACATCGCCGAGCAGATGCACTTCCACTGGGGCGGTGGGTCCTCGGAGATGAGTGGCTCTGAGCATACCATCGACGGGATCAGGTCTATGATCGAGGTATCATAAGGGCCCAGACTGGGTCTTCTCTCCTTCAGACTCCATAGCCACTTCTTTACTTAAATAGCCAAAAAGACTTTTTGTAACGATGATGGTCAAGTCACCCTGAGATCAAGTTTATTTTTCATTTATTCAGCAACTTTTGACTGATTGATGCTCTGTGCAGTGAGTACAGGCAGGGTCTCAGTCCCTATGGAATCCACAGCAAGGCAGGTGCTCAAAGCCATAAGGCAGGACCAGCCTCTGTGATTTTGGCTGGATTTCCATGTGTTAGATTATAAGTCTAGGTAAAGGATGACAGTAGGTCTATAGTAGCCTCCTGGAACAGGAAGGTGTCACATGGTAAGATTCCCTTTATGGGACAAGGATCTTGGGAAAACACAGAGGCCATAGTCATTTAGCAGCTACCTGGCTGCTAACCAGGAGGCTGACAGTTCAAACTCACCAGCCACTCCTTGGAAGGAAGGTTAGACAATCTATTTCCATAGAGATATTGCCTCAAAAACCCAAGGAGGGGTCGCTATGAGTCGGATTCGACTTGACAGCAGTTGAGTTTGGTTTGTTTTTTTTTGGGCTTCAAGAGATGGTTGCTATGTGCCAGGCTGAGGTGGCTGCCAGAGATGTGGTCCCTGCCCTCACAGATCTTGGAGTTGAGTGAGAAACTCATGGTCAAGTCCTCTACCTGTGAGGAGGATGCTTCTATTGTTAGACTTTTCTCAGAGCTTGACTTCTCTTTAATCTGAAGGGGGTCTCCCTACCAATTTGTTCCACATTGGAGTTTCCTATATTCTTACTCAGCATCTAGTCTGCCTCCTCTGGATGATGTGTTTCTTGAAATGAGGTATTGGTTTTCTCTGCCTGCCCATGGCCCCAGGAGACCAGACTGTGAAGGTCCATGGGGTGGTGGCTACCCTGTGAGCATGGATGGTCTGGCAGTTTCTGCTCTTCAGACAAGAAGAAACAAACTAGAAGCCAGAACCCTTTGCTTCTGGTCTTCCTGGATGCCAGTGGCTGTCTTTTTGACTAAGGGCTGGAGAGTGCTGGGCCCTTACTCCTAGTCCTCCTCTGGGTCCATCACAGTTGGAAAGATGGTGCAGCCCCCCTGAGGCCCCAGCAATAGGCAGGCAGCTATGGCACCCTTATGAATTCCCACAAACCTCTACAGAGTGCTGTGGCCTCAGCTGAGCCAAGCTTCATTTTCTGCTGCTGGTCCTAACTCTTTCCAGGCCTCCAGAAGACCAATGGCTCATGGCTATTCATCCCCCAGAAACCTCAGAGAACCTGGTGCTTCATATGATCCCTCTAGACTCTGTCAGTTTGTCTGCTGGTGAAGGATTTAGGGGTCAGGGAAATTCCCTCAGGTTACCATCTTCCCGAAGTCCCACTCATGCTCCTTCCATTCAAGATTTTATCATCTTGATATAAGGAGTTTGTAGCCCAGATGGAGGGAGATGGAAGTAAGAAGTTGTTTGTGTGGGGTAGTCTGAAGCCTTGGAAAAAGTACCTTTCTTTCTTTCCCTCCTTCTGTGAAGTCTATATTAACTGTCATTGATGTATCTTTTCTTGCCCCCACAGATTCATGTTGTTCACTACAACTCAAAATACAAGAGCTATCATGTAGCCAAAGAGGCCCCCAATGGTTTGGCTGTAATGGCAGCCCTCTGTGAGGTAGGCTGAAATTATACATGTGTGCCTGCATTTTAAGTCATCAGTTTATGTCCAAACAGGGCATTAAGACTAGATAAAGGGCCTTCCTTCCTAACCCTCTTCATTCTTTCTGAAGATCACAGTTCTTGGAGATCCTGACCTGATGAAAGTTCGAACCTCTTTCCAGCCCTGTTCCTGGTCACTATGCTCTTGCTGTGTTATCAACCTTAGGAACATTGGAAGGCTGGGAGAAGCAGACTTAAAAGAGCTGGAATCACACAAGTAATGACTGGACACATCTGGTCTGAAGGGCAAGGGGAAACCCTCTAACTTGATCAAACAAATGCACCACCTCTGCATTCCTAAGAAAATCTGGTGGGGGGACCTCCTCTGGCTATGGTGGTGAGAAGAGTTTGGTGAATCCAATCCCCCCAAAATAAGTATAAGCTGGTAAAGTTGTCAAAAACAACCATATCAGTGTTCAGGAAATTGACCAAAGGCAAACAACAAATTGAGAGGCATTTTTTTTTTTTTTTTTTTTGTGAAAAATGGTTAGACTTTTGAGTAAGAATAATAGAAGTCTGTGGCCTTTTTCTTGAAGGTTTTCCCATCCCTACCTAGCTTGGTCATCAAGGTAGCTCTATCAGGGAAGAGCTGATCACAGAAACTAGCAACTTCATTGCCAGAAGAAGCTGACTTGATTTAGGGTGGAAGTTAGAACCCTACACCTCAGGGCACTGTCAATAAAAGTAAACTCAGAAAAGGCAGAAAACAAACAGGAAAAACTTGCAGCTCTGCTAATCTGAGGTTGTGATTCCAGTTGAGGTGAGTGATGGACTAGCCAGAAATTTAACGGGAAGATCATGGAAATGAGAGAACTATGGAATTTTTACAAGAGGGCCTGGTGGAAAGTAAACTGAAGCTGACTTCAGAACATTCTGAACTTTGACTGTGCTTCTCAGTCCACACACAGGTCCGTCAGCAGAGGGTGGAGGTTCTGTGGGCTCGAGGGGTTTCAGCACAACCTCTACCCAAATCACTGGCTCATCAGAAAGCTTTGCCAACTCTCAGCAACCCACAGAAAATCAGGCTAAAATATAAAAATAACTGAAAATAGAGCAGAGACATCAGTGGCTGCATACTGTTGGGAGACATATCTTGTAAAGTAAGTACAGGCAAGTTACTAAACAAACACACAAACAAAGAACCCTCAGGACAATAAAAAAAATCAGAATCCAGAGTTACTACCACATATTATCTAAAATGTCCAGTTTTCAACAACAAAAATTGGGACATGTAAAGAAATAAGAAAATATGAACTATACTTAGGAAAAAATGTAATCAATACTAACTGACTCTGAGTCAGCTCAGAGTGATATAGTAGCAAGATCTTCAAAACATCTATTACAAACATGTTCAAAGAATTAAAGAAAACTGTGTTTAAATAATTAAAGGAAAACATGATGACAATGACCGAAAAAAGAAAATTTCATTAGAGAAACAAAGTATAAAAATGCACCAGTTAGAAATTCTTAGGTTGAAAAGTACAATTGAAAAAAAAAAAAAGTTAAGAAAATGTTACTAGATGGGCTTAAAATGGATTTGAGAGGGCAGAAGAATCAGTGCATCTGAATATAGATTAAAGAAATCATTCAATCTGAAGTAGAGAGAAAAAAGACTGAAGAAAAATGAACAGAACCTTAGAGACTCATGAGGTGTATCAACAGATATATGTAATGGAAGCCCAGGAAAGGAGAGAGATAAGCAGCAGAAAAAATATTTAAAGAAATAATGGCTGAAAAAGACTCAAATTTGATGAAAAACATTAAATCTACTGATCTAAGAAACTCAACAAACTCCAAGTCAGATTAACACCTGATACAACATAGTCAAAGTGCTGAAAGTTCAAAGACAAAGAGAAATCTTGAAATCATCAAGAGGAAAGGGATTCATTACATACAGGGGAATGAGAACATAATGAGAACATAGTGGCTGATTGCTCATGAGGAACAAGTCATCAGAAGGATGTGCGGACTAACACATTCAAAGTGCTGGAACAAACCTGTCAACCAATTCTATACCCAGCTAAACATCCTTCAGAAAATGAAGACAAAAATAAAGACATTTCCAGATTTTAAAAAAACTGAGATAATTTGTTACTAGCAGACCTATCTTAAAAGAAACACTCTAGGAAGTCCTTCTGGCTGAAAGGAAATTATACCAGATAGTAACTCAAATCCACAGAAAGAAATGAAGAGTGCTGGGCATTATAAATATGTGGGTGAATAGAAAAAAGAATGATGTAAGTTTTCTCTCTTTTTGAAATTTCTTAAAAAACGTAAGATTGTTTAAAACAATAATTATAACACTGTATTGTTGGACTTATAACATATGTAGGTTTACTATTGTGGTGGTTAAGTTTATATGTCAACTTGGCTAGGCCTGGTTGAGTGGCTGGGCAGCTGGATGTACCATTCCCCATGATGAGACTGGTAATCAACTCCATGGTGGAATCTACTGTGAGCAGCTGAAGACCTGCCTTTGGGTATGTAGTTTGCTTTCCGTATATAAGAAACAGCTTTGGGAATGGTCTCCAGCTTACGCCACACTTGAACCCTGCATGTAGCTGTGTCATTGTTCAGCAGCCTGCCAAGCTCTGCTGACCTTGGGACTTTCAATGGACTTGAATTAATGGGCCTGACATGTGGTTTGGTAACATTGGGACTGTGCCTTTTTACTTGTCAACCTTGGGCTTGTCAGTTTCAGCAGCCAGCAGCTGTCTGAGTGAAGAAACGCCTCTAGCTCCAGTGGGCCAGGAGCAGGAGGCAGAGCTGAAGCCTAAGGCTGAGGGGCTTTCACCCAGCCCCTAGTGCCTGACATGCGGAACTTGGACTTAAAGCCTCCAAATTGCAAGAATAAACTCCTGTTTGTGGTATATCCCAGTCAGAGTAGCATAGCACTAGGTAACCAGAACAACTATGTGTGTCAAAAATAGAAGAAAGGAGGGGGAAGAAATGAGGTACATTGGAGCAAAGTCACTATAATTTTTGGACTTAAATTAGTATTAACTTGCTTATGAGAAATTAAGTTGTATATTGTAAGCACTAGAGAAACCACTAAGAAAATAATTGAAAATGGTTAAATGGTAGACTGGAAGTCTTTGTTCAACAAAAAAAGAAGCCAGGAAAGGTGGAACAGAGGAACAAAAAAGTCATAAGTTATATAGAAAACAAACAGCAAAATGACAGTCATTAATCCAAGAAAGCTTGAGTTTATACACAGTGGAAGAAGAACTGGAGGCTGAATCAACACCACTGACTGAAAAGAGCCATTGAAAATAGACCTTTTGCACCAAAAGCAACTTTTCTGCCTTTCTGAAAATAAACATTCATACAAAAATTATAGAGTGATATGACAGTGAGTGGAACTGGCAATTGTGCCTTGAACATCTGGCTGTCCTCTCCTCAGTCACAAGTCTCAAGGATGAAGACAGCCCATGAGAGCCAGCTTCCTCATCACAACGAATCTGACTGTGTCACCACCCCAAATAAGCTTGTCAGGGACTTTTTTAGCAGCAACTTTTGGCCATTCTCTGAGGGCATCACCAGTCACCAAAAATCTCTTTTCCCTGGAAGCTTCAGGGAATACTTCTCTTCAAGAGCCTTATGAGCCCAAAGAATAACCAGGTTGTCTCCCCACAGCATAACTGGGACATGTGCTGCTTCCTCTTTGCTTTTAAAGGGTCTGCTCAATCAGCTACGAAAAAGGCAGCTGGATCAGTAGGGATAGAGCTGGAGGTCTCTTCTCCACTTAGTTAACTACTCTTTATTTGTCCCTGCAGGTCCAGGAGAATGGTGAAAACACTTATTACAGTGAGTTCTTTTCCCACTTGCAGAACATCAGATATCGAGGTAAGGGCAGCCAATGGGGCTGCAGCGGGAAGAAGAACGTGCAGGAGGGAGGGATGAAGCCAAAGGCCAGGGAGGGGTAGGGAAGGGTGAAGCTGGTGAGGAGGGTGGTGGATAACTCAGCCCAGGTAGCGCACAGAGTCTCTTGTTCATAAACTCTACCTGTAGATTCCCACGGTTGGAACTTCCGAATGGCACCAGTTCCACTACCAACCCTGTTGCCATTGAGTTGACTGGGATTCATGGTAACTCCAAGTGTGTCAGAGTAGAACTGGGCTCCACAGGCCCTCCCGTCCGCCCCCAGTTTATTGCTAATATGCCTTTTTAAAAAAACAAACAAACAAACAAAAAAACCTTCTTATTGTGATTTGAGTAAAAGTTTATAGAGCAAACTGGTTTTCCATTCAATAATTAATACACATTTTGTTTTGTGGCATTGATTGCAATCCCCACAATGTAACAGCACTCTTTCCTGTGTTTCCCATTTCCATTAGTCCTTTTTATCCCTTCCTGCCTTCTGACCTTTATCCCTGGGTAGAAGCTACTCTTTTAATCTCGTACAGTCCACTGTTCTAAGGAGTACTTAAACCTCTAATGTTACTGCTCACCATATAGGCCTATTTATTGTTTGGCTGAAAATTGAGTCCAAGGGTAAGTTCAGTTCCAGGCTTGAAGGGTGACTAAGGGACACAGTCTCAGGGTTTCCACTGGTCTCTATATTAGAGTATAAGTTTGGTGTTTTTTATGATTTTGAGTTTTGTTCCACATTTTTCTCATACTTTATCCAAGACCTTCTACGGGTATCCCCTTCAGAGCAGTTAAGGAGCTCTGGTGGTGTAGTGGTTAAGGTATTTGGCTGCTAACGAAAAGGTCAGTGGTTCAAACCTACCAGCTGCTCTGCAGAAGAAAGATGAGGCAATCTGCTTCATCTTCTTGTTGGAAAACCAATGGGGGTCACTGTGAGTCGGAATCGACTTGATGGCAGTGAGAGTTCAGAGCAGCTAGTAGCGGTAGCTGGGCACCAAGTAGTTCTTGTCTCAGGGTTGAGGAGAGTGAGGTTAGAATGGTCCATTAGTTCTGTGGATTATTTGTTTCCATGCATCTTTGATTTTCTTCACTCTCCTTTGCTTCAGAGAGAGACCAATAGCTGCACCTTAAATGGCCACTCCTTAGCCTTTAAGTACCCAGTCACTAACCACAGCAGGATACAGAACACTGTCTTTGTAAACTATGTTATGCCAATTGAATTAGTTGTTCCCCAAGCCCAGTGACTTATTACCTTAAGGTGTCTGGTCATGGCTAAGAAGTTTTTGTTAACTTTGACCCCTGGTTGCTCTACCATATACATAGGTATATTTACAGCACATAGAGATATCCTCTACCAAACCTATATATGGTTGTGGGTGTAGGCCTGTTTGCCTACTTATTTATACCTGTTCAGCTTGTCTGTCTGCCTAGGTATCTACTCATAGACTGTTTGTTATTACTGATATTGCATGATTGTGTATGTAATCTTTGTTGCCTCTTGTGCACTTCCTCTCCTTATCTTCTTTTGCCTTAGTGATACTGTGTTGACCATCCTCTTATTGTATATTGTCTTTCTCTTCACCCAAATTAATATTTGTCTACTATCTAGTTAGTGATTTTCCTTCCCCCTCTCTCATCCCTGGTAACCATCCAAGACTGTTTCTTTCTGTATGTAAACCTTTCCTTTCCTTTTTGTAATAGTGGATTCACACAGTATTTCTCCTTTTGTGATTGACTTATTGCACTCAGAATAATGTCTTCCAGGTTCATCCACAGTATGAGGTGTTTCACTGATTCCTCATTATTAATATTGCCTAGTATTCCATTGTGTGTATGCACCATAGTTTGTTTATCCATTCAGCCGCTGATGAGCACTTGGGTTGTTTCCAATCTCTTTGCTACTGTGAATAATGCTGCGATGCACATAGGTAAGCATATATCTATTTGTGTCCCAGCTCTTATTTCTCTCGGATATATACCTAGTATTGTTAGAGATTGCTGGATCAAATGGTATTTCTATTTCCAAATTTTTAAGGAAGCACCATACTGTTTTCCATAGTGCTTGTACCATTTTACAGTCCCAAGCAGTGCATGAGAGTTCCAATCTCTCTATACCCTTACCTGCATTTGTTGCTTTCTGTCTTACTGAACTTTGCTATTATTGCTGGAATGAGAAGATATCTCATTGTTGTTTTGATTTGCCTTTATCTAATGGCTAATGATTGGGAGCATGTCTTCATGTGTTTGTTAGCTGGTGAAGTGTCTGTTCATACCCCCTGCTCATTTTTGAATTGGGTTGTTTTTCTTTTGGTTATTTAGGTGTTGAAGTTTTTTTGGTGACTTCTGAGCACTGCTTTTTCTGTGCCCCATACGTTTTGGTCTGATGTGTTTTCATTCTCATTTAATTCTAAGAATGTTTTATTTCACTTTTTATTTCTTCTATTACTTAGTAGTTTTTAAACAGAATATTAGGAAGTTTCTATGTATTTAATTTTCCCCCTCTGATCTTCATGTTGGTGATCTCTAATTCTATGGCTTTGTGATCCAAGAAAATGCTTTGTATTATTTTGATGTTTTTATATGTATTGAGCTTTGCTTTGTGGCCTAACATACGGTCTTTTTTTGAAGAATGATCCATGTGCACTGAAAAAGAGTATGTATTGTGTTTTTGTTGGGTAGAGTGCTCTGTATGTATCTATGAGGTCAAGTTGGTTGTTACGTTGTTTAGATCTTCTGTATCTTTGTTGAGTTTCTTTCTAGTTGTTCTGTCCTTCATTGGAAGTGGTGTGTTAAAGACTACTATTATTGTGGAGTTGCCTATTTCTCTTTTCAATCCTGGTAATGTTTGCTTTATGTATTCTTTTGGCTCTTTAATTGGGTGCATATATATTTATTATGGTTATATCTTCTTGTTAGATTGACCCTTACATCATTATATAATGTCCTTCCTTGTCCCTTATGTTGGTTTTTGCCTTAAAGTCTATTTTATCAGAGATATTAATATTGCCACTCTTGCTCTTTTTTGGTTGCCATTTGTTTTATTTTTCCAGCCCTTGATATTCAGTGTGTTTTTTTTT